AAAAAAAAAATAAAAGAATAAAAAGAAAAAAGAAAAGGTGCAGAAGAGAAAGAAAGAAGAAAAAAGAGAAATAGAAATAGAAAAGAAAGAAAAAAGAAGAATATAGTAAAGAAAAAGAAAGGAAATATATAAAGAAGTGACTTCCCCCTTCATCACAACAAATATAAACAATTTTAGCAACTTATCACCTTCTCTTAAAATACAGCAAAGGATCTCTTCTTCCCATATCCCATCACTTATCTATAAACAAATCCTTAAAGCTTTGTCATTTCAGTCCTGATGCCAGCAAAAGTCCATTAAGGGTTACCAGAGATAACATTTTTTAAACCTTGATCAAATAAACCAACCTTATATTCCTTCCTTTTACTTCTAACAATCTTAATCTTTAGTCCCTTCAAATAATGTTGTAGAATTTGATTTCTTTTCATTTTTTCTTTGTCCCTTCTCGTCCTGATGCCAGCAAAAGTCCATTAAGGGTTACCAGAGATAACATTTTTTAAACCTTGATCAAATAAACCAACCTTATATTCCTTCCTTTTACTTCTAACAATCTTAATCTTTAGTCCCTTCAAATAATGTTGTAGAATTTGATTTCTTTTCATTTTTTCTTTGTCCCTTCTCACAAAGTTCTTCCAGGCTTTAACAAGCCTCTTTTGTAAATGCAGTAAGGGAAAATTATCCAGGTCACTCTCTTGGTTTGTTGTTTGTATATCCCTTTTCATTATTAAGACATCAGCCAATTTCTTTTGTATGTCCAATGTAAGATCTTTTTCCATGTCATTCTTGTAGCCTGTCATTTATAAACCCACTTTCAACTCAGTCTCGATCTTGTCAGGCAGCACTTGTTTAAAATATATTTTAAACACAGTCTATCTATAATGGAAGACACTATTAAAAATTAACTTCTGGGTCCATTGTTCAAAAATATCCTTCAATATGTCCAACGTTAAAATATTTTGCTCTATTCTGTAATTGTAAAGTTTGAGTGTTCTTCTCCTTTAATTATAATCTTTAGTTCCCTCAAGTTCCCTCTAGGGTCTAATTTTTAAAGTCTAATCTTATTTTTTTTTTTAGAAATTAAAAACAAAAGCATTTTTCCATGGGGAGGATTCTTTATTATTAATTCCAAAATCCTATTTCAAATTTATCTGGACCCTTAGTCCATTTGTAAGTTTCTCAAATCAAAGTTTTAATCACCCTTTTGCTGCTGCTGCTATTGTTATTATTATTATTAAGTTCTTAAACTTGTAGTTGAAACTTGTTTCATTAAGGATTGAAGGAAACCCACCCAGTGCTGTCAAACCTGTTGATCCAAAGGTTCCTAATAGCTGAAAAGCAGTTAACAAGCTATTTTCAAATGTGATTAGAAAAGGAAGTATGCGAATTTAGTGTCCTTTCAAAGACACTGACCATGGTTTGAGCAAGATGGCTTTCCCTCATCTCCCAGGGCTCTAAACTCTAAGAGGAATTACAAAGAGCTGGTCTACTCGCTCTATTCCACTGTGGTTCTCAACTCTGCTTTTCACAGAGCTGTCTTCAGTCCACCATTTCTTCCCCGGAAGTCCCCAAGTCACTTTCCTTCTAAGCAAGACACATATACCAGAAGACTGAACAACAGATTCCATATTTATAGAGGAAGGAAGGTTTTTTTCAAAAAGAAAAAGAAAAAGAAACCCTTCCAGGAAACCTGTCAGGATGGAAATAAACATGGCATTAATCTATCCAGAGTCCAAGGAGAAGAAACATTCTCTCTTACCTTCAGCTGTATCCCAGGCTGTCAAGGCAGACTGTGACACAATCTTTGGTTCCTAAAGATAAACTCTTCAGAGAGATAGTCGAATACTGGTTATCACACGTGTTTAGTTATATATTGTTAGAGATCTTTAGGTCAGGGCACTGTGGCTATCTCCAGATATCACTGAACTTCAGTGCTCATCAGGCCCAAGGAACAGAATGATTGGGCAGATCTTATGGGAATTGTAGTTCAACACCAGGAGATCCCCAGGTTTCTTTACCTTAATATCAGCACCTCAGTAAGAGGTCATCTTACTAAGACACAGAAGTCATCCTCTTTCTAACTATTTCTCCTTAATAATGGAAAGTACTTGTTTGTTTCTGATATTCTGGAGACTGGAAATGATCAATGCAGGGATCCAGAATCCTGTGGCAAGGCACCATTGCTCCAAGCAGAGAGACCAGATAGCATGGTTCTTTGGTACATAATATTTACATCTTCTCAGCAACCCTAGTGCAGCACTTAAAGATCATTTTTGCTCCTAGCCACTCTATGTACACGAGAACATGAATATGAGAATAGCCCTGCTGGATCAGACTAGGTCCAGCTGACCAGCAATGGTGGCCCACCAGATGCATCTAGGAAGCCCTCAATAGGAGATCAAAGCAGTCTTCCTCTCCCACTGATGTTTCCATGTATTTGGTATGTAGAAGCGGACTGCCCGGTGTCTGAGGGCTAGTGACCATTAAGAGATCTCTTCTCTGAGAATTGATCTAGTCCCCTTTTGAAGCCACTTACATTAGAAGCCCACACCACATCTTGTGGCAGCATGTTCCACAAATTGATTCCATGTTGCATGAAAAATATATTTCCTCCTACCCATTTAAAAACTTTTACTAGTTAGTTGTATTGGTGGCCTCTAGTTCTAGTATTATGGGAAATGAGAAAAATGCTCCCTGTTCACAGTAACTTTGCCATGCATAATGTTATAAACATCAATCATATCTCCTTTAAACAACTTTTCTCTAAGCTAAATAGCCCCAACTGTTACATCCTCTCCTCCTACAGAAGGTGTCCAAGATGTACAAGGATCTGAGTCACTGTCTCCACCTCCACATTTCCCATCTGGGGAAAAAACATATCCATTTTTTGTTTATGTTCCTGAATTTAACAGAAAGAGGGAAGGAACTCAGTTTTTTATTAGCCAGCATGGCATCTAAAATATTCTACCTAATGAGAATGGATATAAAATTCTGGGAAATTCTTTTGCAGAAGGTTACGATTCATACAGAACTTTACAGAGGTTCATGTTTTAGAGATGAAATAAATTCTTGTAAAGAAAAATCTACCCAGAGAATCTGCAAAAAAAGCGGTAGAAATGTTGTGAATGCAGGCACTTGAGCCAAACTCTACTGCTGATATAATTTTTTTGGCCTTCTCTGTGTTAGTAGCAACAACTAGATCAGTTGTACTCCTTGGCCTCTCCTTGCTGGCTTGGAAAACATCCATCACCTAGAGGATCGTAGGATCAATAACCCTTTGGCCTGGCTGCAGTGAAACAGAGACCTTGCAAACAAAAGGGGAGGAATCTGTGAGATTCAACACAACAGTCTAGGGTTACTCCTGGCTCTGCTGAAAACCAAAAAAAGAAACAACAATGTTTCTATTATGGGCAAAAGTTATCTGAGAGAAGTATCTCCCCTTGGGAAGAATGATGGCCTTGTCTGAACTCCAGGTTTATGGCCATCTTTTTCAAAATTAGGCCTCCAAAACATGTTGGTTAATTGTCAGACTGGATGCAGTTCACCACCCAAGTATGGAATTGTACAAATAGACTTGCAATGTAGTTTAATGGTCTTCTGGGGGCAGGAACTTGTTCCTTAAGGAATAATACTCAATTGTTTTTGCTTACTTCCAAATGTGGACTTGGTGTATTGAGCAGGAAGGCCCCATCTTTTCTTTTCTTTTCTTTTCTTTTCTTTTCTTTTCTTTTCTTTTCTTTTCTTTTCT